AATAAATGTTCATATTGTTAAATTTTTAATATGTAAAAGCTGCCAGAATCGTTTAGAATATGTATCATTTATGGAAGTGTTTTCTAATAAGAGAGATGTTTTATTTCTTTGAATAATTCAAGTGCTCTTAAATCAAACATACATTATGCAAGAGCTAAATGATGTCTTTATTCAGGCTTCAGATGTTATAGAAATTATTAATTAGAATTTTATTTACACGAGAAGCTCAAATCAACTCTGTAGACCCCCAGATGGCTGGATACAGCTTGGATTTAAACAGTCGTCCATTTTAATTAAATCAATAAATAGCGGACCAGGCTAACGTTTACCGTTAGTCACTGGCGTCACTACCAGAGACTCGTGATGAAAGGCCTGCCAAACGAGGTCACCATAGCCGTTGAGAATTTTACTTGATAATCGACGGCAATTCTCGTAGACGGTGCGGACACAGTTAATGCCTATTTCTAGTCCAAACTTCCAACACTGACAACTCCAGTACAGAATAAAGTAATTTGACTGAAATTTTCAATATTTTCTTTTTTGTTATCATCTATTTTTGAATTATTATAGCAAGAATAGCCAACTCTTTATTAAACCCTCAACTAATGTATCTTTAAAGTAGTTTTAAACATACATTATGTAAGAGCTAACTCTGCCTATTGTAGTCCTTTCTTTAGACCCGAAATGTTATATACGCAAGTAATAATTAGACTTAGGCCCATATTTTCTAAAGTAGATTAGTGCTAATTATAGATTTAATCTCCGACTATCTGACCAGTCATATTCTGTAGGGGTGACTAAATTTTAAACCAAGATTTTTATAAACTTTGATTAGCCTAATCATTGAGTTAATCATTGTTCGAGAATACCATAAAAAGTGATATTCTGGAACGTTGACATGTACTTAATCTTTACCAAAGTCACCCAAATATTTGTCATCTCAGGGCTTAGTTGAAGAAAGGATTAAGTGCATGGGTATGCCATTATGATGAATTCAGTTATGAAGTTAGGAACCAAATAAGCATGAAACGACATTTATTTGAAATGAAATGAAATGGGGTTTAACGTTCTTCTTATCTGCTCCTGCTGGGCTAATACAGTATGCTATCAAGGACAGCAGTACTACGGACTACTCTAAGGGGTTCTCAACATCCGTTCTGCTCCACTGACAAAGGGTAACCAACCAGGCAGGAAAATCCAGATGAACCTTCTCGGTCAACAACGCGAGCGAACACGAGAGCTCCTGGTTAGCGCACCAGCGTCTTACCCACTAAGCTCCCTTTATTTATTTTCAACACCATACATCCCCCCCCCCCGTCTCCATAATTCACGCACACTCTTCGCATACTCAACTTACACTGTCGGCCTATAATTATATATATATATTTCCGATTTACGCCCCCCCCCCCCCCCACAACAAAGTGCAAGAAATTTTCGAACCGTAAAGGATGCATGTTCCTGAAGCAACGATGTACGATGTACGGAAAAAGGCCGGCAGGCCTCCTTGTCGACTAGAAATGACATTCTTTGTTTGTTTCAGTTTCATATGTTCACACAATATTTCCATCAAAGAGATGTAAGAAATGAAAAACAGCCAAGTTAAAAGCGGAGCGAACTCAATAATTGTATTTTAGGTCTTTGAAGCTCTATAATTACAAATATAATGTTCATGTTTTTACATAATAAACGATATTATATTTGATATATCTCATGAAATTTTATGTAATTGGCACTTGGTGTCCCAAGCAGTATTATGCGGTGTCTGGATAAAACCAGACTTTTATTTTATAAAAAGTAATTTGAATGAAATTTTCAATATTTTCATTTTACATTATTTATTTTTGAGCTATTATAGCAAGAATGGTCAGCTCTAAATCTTACATAATGAATCTTTAAATGATGCATCTTAAATTATGTGAAATCCCAACTATTTCAATAAGTCTACGTGTCATTTGAAAGCTTTTAATTATCATGTGTAACATTGTCTTCTTGCTAATCGTAATTATCCTGAATGTGATAAATATCAATGCTCGCAAAGTTTTTCAAACAAACTTTCTTGTTGCCTTTATTAGAGACTAGCAGGATACCCGGCTTCGCTCGGGGGTCATAACTCCGAAACCGGAAGTGGTAGACTAACGCCATCTGGCCTATGTCACTCCCCGGTCCGAGCTACCCCTATACCCCAAATTTCAGACTCGGGTCAGACCTAGTGTAGCCGCCAACCCCGAACAGACCGGCTTCGCTCGGGGGTCATAACTCCGAAACCGGAAGTGGTAGACTAACGCAACCTGGCCTATGTTACTCTCCGGTCTGAGCTACCCCTATACCCCAAATTTCAGACTCGGGGCAGATGTAGCCGCCAACCCCGAACAGACAGACTTCGCTCGGGGGTCATAACTCCGAAACCGGAAGTGGTAGACTAACGCCACCTGACCTATGCTACTCCCCGGTCCGAGCTACTCCTATACCCCAAATTTCAGACTCTGGGCAGACCTAGTGTAGCCGCCAACCCCGAACAGACCGGCTTCGCTCGGGAATCATAACTCCGAAACCGGAAGTGGTAGACTAACGCCACCTGGCCTATGTTACTCCCCGATCCGAGCTAACCCTATACCCCAAATTTCAGACTCGGGGCAGACCTAGTGTTGCCGCCAACCCCGAACAGACAGACAGACAGACAGACAGACAAACGACAGTCACAAATATATATATAGATAGATAGATAGATAATAAAAACAATGGGTTGGAATTATGTAATTTTCATTCATGACAAAATAGATGTTGATTTGGTGAGAAATATTCTGGAATTTGTGGAAAACAGACTCGCCAATTTAAAGATCAACATTTATGAACTTACTGCAAATAGGCGAGAGAGCATGCGTAATATTTTAATACAAAGGTATTCACAACAATCACCAGTGTCAATAATTCTCTAACTACGAAACAGTACCACTAAGTTCTTAAAAACTGCTAATGATTTGGATCTCGAATCGAACAAGACCACCAATTATCGAACCAATTCGTATTGGATTCTTCTGAGTTCGGGTCCAGTAATAATTGATGACTTTGAGCTTGAATTGGAAAATACGGTAAATAATGTACAAGATATAGAATGCCTCGTTACTGCCTTGGGTTTCGCCTCAGTTACTGATATATCTTCTTCCTTAATTGACCGATCGCAGCTGTCAATCAAAATAAAAAATCAACCAATCAAAAACGCCTTCTCTTCTGCGAGAGCAGCATATATTTCATGATCTACGAACAAAAGCGGGTAAATTTGTTAACTTGTACACAAAAGAACCTGGGACATACTTTTACAGTATAAAAAATATGAAAAAGAAACTGAACAGGTAAACAGAAATCCAGTTAAACTGAAAAAGAGCACAAAAGAAATAATAAAAACAAAAATAATGACGGCAGCCGTATCAAAACTTGTCTGCGCAACTGGTGGTGTGTGCGGTGCATAACGACCTCCTTCGTGATCAGGACCCAAAACATGTCGACAAGATATTCATAGAGAACAGTCCTGATCGTAGATTGAACGTCTTTGGACGATTCACTTAACTTCATAAACAATTAATATTTGTGCAGCTTTCACGTAGATAGTCAATTTATCCATAGACGGAATATGGCCAAAACGAGACGCAGCTCGGATTATTGTTCCGCGATGTAATAACAAGTGTCTACATCGGTAACCTCACCGTAAACCCCACAGGAGTTAAGAACAGCCATACTACTCGCAGTGTTTCGTTTGATTAGACTTAATCCCACTTAACACTGCTGTAGTGGAAGCAAATTTTTTGTTCCAAATAATGACTGGTCAATAGTCCGATTAACAAGCAATTGCTAACTGCGTAACATGATCATTCGTCTTTAAACAGAGCTCCAAATTGGACCAAATATGTTTACATAACGTTACATCATGACTCACGAAATATTACGCCTAATTAACCAATGCATAGCAAAATATTGCAGAAAAACTAATAGCTTGACAAACGAGGCTATCAAACGACTACAATGTAAACAATACTGTTTGGAGACGAACAATACTTTCACTGTTGTTGATACCTTAAACCACTGTCCAAAGTTTTAGGGAAGATCCCAGAATACACGAAGGGCTGTAATGTTGTTGTACTTGGGATAGATTTGATTGAATGGAAAGAATAGACACGGTCCCTCATAAGTTCAAGTTTAGAAATCAATTCAGCAATGACCAGAGAGGGAATGGGATTTAACGTCCACTCGACACAAACTAGGTCATTTCGGGACTAACATATGGTTCAATTTTATTTCCATAATTCGCGGAAACTGGAGGACCCGGAGAAAACCCACGAAGTTGGACAGGTGACCCTCTCCTTGTCACGTACAACCGGAGATTCGAAACCACGCCAGTTGACTCAATGACAGACTTTATAATACAGCACGCACGTGCTAACCATTCAGCCATCCAACCCCCCTCGGGCCATTGCTTTAGGAATATGGAGAACACACGCTATTTAAAAGTGTGGAAGACGTAACGAGACGCCTGGACTGGACACTAGGTTTTATTGGGGATTCGTTATCACAATAAATTGTGAGTAATTCTACAAATATAATTTTACAGACACTTTGGCAAAGGATTTTGGAGTGCAGTAATACAAGTTCAGCAAGTTCTGGTGTATTGGAACCAAACAATTTATTCAGTTTTGAACTCGTACAATAATTTGTACTGAACAGAGACGATTGTGCCCTGGACACGGAGGGTGTGGCTATATACCGAGATTAAACTTGGCCATCGCTGTAACTAAAAATTCCTATTTAAAATATGACTTTGATTCGGTTATGCAGTGAAATGGAAAATGCAACATTCCCGCCCATCGCTATTATAATAATGAGCACAACTTCCACTAGTATATTTCCATGACGTATAGTATTGTGCTCTCATGCGTTATCTACCTGCACATTATTTATGTAATTTTCCACGTTTTTATAGGTTTTGCAGCGATCACAGCCTTTTATTACAATTTCTATTAAAACTACATAGAAAACTGGTTCTCAAATTAAACAGTGACAATGACAGAGGAAGTTGAATTCTAACATATTGCTTCAAGTAAAATCAAACACTCATAATTCAAAGCTCAATTTCAGATCCAATCCTGTTTAGTTTTTTGGATTTTATATTAACTTTAAACAACTTCGATAGGTTAGTATGGAGAAAGAAGACTTAAAGACGAACACAGAATTGGATGCAGAACAGAAAAACACATTATTGGACAGCAAATCAACTAAAACCGAAAGAGGGCATTGGGGCAGCCATCTGGAGTTTATTTTTTCTTTGATCGGATGTTGTGTTGGCCTGGGTAATCTCTGGCGTTTTCCGTACATCTGTAATCGAAATGGTGGGGGTAAGTCTATGGAATATGTTCAGATTAATAATATTAATAGAAACTATGCCGTTACCCCTTAAACGTTGTGGTAGTTATTTTAAAATATCTACTTTATTTATAATTCTAGTCTTATTTTCAAGATTATTAAGAATGCGTTCGCGACAGCACCAGACAGAAGGTGCTAAGGCTGCATCTTTAGATTTGGTTATAGTACTCGAACACACACATATATAAAATATCAGGCTCATCCTCCAGTTCATGACTGAGAAAATTGAGAATAATAGATTCCAATGAAGAAATTTTTATACGCCCAAATTTTCATGTCCGCCCGTCCACAATTTGTTTGTGGACACTCTACACTCTCCAAAAGATCTCGGCTGCTTTCGGTATAGAGGTCATAATTTTTATCCGATTTAAAAAACCGTTTTAGTATATCACCGTTACACCCTCGTTCTCAAATAGCGTAAAAATGTGGTATGATTGTACGATGTCACAATTATTATCCGATTTAAAAAAGAAACGTTCAAATATATCACTGTTATACCGTAATTTTGGTTGAGTTTGAATTTCGTGAAAATGTGTCAATATATCACCATTACACACTAAGATCTTGGATCCATTTGATAATCGCGGATACCGGAACTTAACTTCCTGGATTATGGCCCCTGATTGTTCGAAAATGGCATTTTTAGCTTGTGGATTCTCTAGAGGTCACATTTGGGTTTTTTTCCGATTTTAAAAACCGTTTAAATATTTCACCATTCCACCTTAATGAAGGTTGAATTCGAATTTCGGGAAAATCGAAATGATACTGCCCGACAAAATGGCCGCTCTTTGTACGCAAATTGTGTAGAAGTGTGTAATACGAAGGTTGTGGACCCTCACAATTTTTATCCGATTTCAATGAAACTTGAAATATAGGTTTATCACCCTAAGATCTCGGTTCCTTTCGATATTGGCATGTATCGGACTGTAACTTCATGGATTATGGCCCCTGATTGTACGAAAAATCACGTTTTTAGCTTGTGAACACTGTAGAGGTCACAATTTTTATCCGATTTAGTTTAAACTTGAAATGTATGATTATAACCCAACGATCTCGGTTCCTTTCGATATTCACGCATATCGGAACGTAACTTCCTGAATTATGGCCCCTGATTGTACGAAAAATCGCGTTTTTAGCTTGTGGACCCTATAGAGGTCATAATTATATCACCGTTAAACCCTAAGGACGGCTGAGTTCGAATTTCGTGAAAATCGGCCCAAAACTGACAGACAAAATGGCCGCCCCTCGTTCTCAAATAGCTTAAAAATATGGTATATCAAGGTTGTGGACCCTATAGAGGTCACAATTTTTATCCGATTTTGTTGAAACTTGAAATGTAAGTTTATAACCCAAAGATCTCTGTCCCTGTCGATGTTCGCACATATCGGACCGTAACTTCCTGAATTATGGCCCCTGATTGTACGAAAAATTGCGTTTTTAGCTTGTGGACCCTATAGAGGTCATAATTTTTATCCGATTTAAAAAAACGTATTATTATATTACCGTTACACCCTAAAGACGGCTGAGTTCGAATTTCGTGAATATCGGCCTAAAACTGACAGACAAAATGGCCGCCCCTCGTTCTCAAATAGCGTAAAAATATGGTATATCAAGGTTGTGGACCCTATAGAGGTCACAATTTTTATCCGATTTTATTGAAACTTGAAATGTAAGTTTATAACCCAAAGTTCGTGGTTCCTTTCGATATTCGCGCATATCGGACGTAACTTCCTGAATTATGGCCCCAGATTGTACGAAAAATCGCGTTTTTAGCTTGTGGACCCTAAAGAGGTCATACTTTTTATCCGATTTAAAAAAAAAACGTATTATTATATCACCGTTACACCCTAAGGACGGCTGAGTTCGAATTTCGTGAAAATCGGCCCAAAAGTGACAGACAAAATGGCCGCCCTTCGTTCTCAAATAGCGTAAAAATATGGTATATCAAGGTTGTGGACCCTATAGAGGTCACAATTTTAATCCTATTTTGATGAAACTTGAAATGTAATTTATAACCCACAGATCTCGGTTCCTTTCGCTATTCGCGCATAACGGACGGTTACTTCCTGAATTATGGCCCCTGATTGTACGAAAAATCACTTTCTTCTTAGCTTGTTCTCTATCCATCTCTCGAAAATGTGGGCGTATCCTGCCTGGCAGCCGCTGGTTATACTCCCACATTTTCATGTGGACGTATATTTTCATCACCCCTGTCCGTCAGTCCACAATTCTTTGTGAACACTCTACAGGTCACAATTCGATTTCAATGAAACTTGAAATATAGGTTTATCACCCTACGATCTCCGTTCCTTTCGATAATTGCATGTATCGGACTGTAACTTCATGGATTATGGCCCCTGATTGTATGAAAAATCACGTTTTTAGCTTGTGAACACTGTAGAGGTTACAATTTTTATCCAATTTGGTTTAAACTTGCAATGTATGTTTATAACCCACCGATCTCGGTTCATTTCGGTATTCGCGCATATGGGACCATATCTTCCTGAATTATGGCCCCTGACTGTACAAAAAAATCGCGTTTTTAGCTTGTGGACCCCAATTTTTATCCGATTTAACAAAACGTTACAATATACCACCGTTTCACACTAAGGCTGGTTGAGTTCGAATTTCGTAGAAATGGGACTAAAACTGACGGACAAAATGGCCGCCCCTCGTTCGCAAATAGTTTCACAATATTGTGTATCGGGGTTGTGGACCCTCTGAAGGTCACAATTTTCATCTGATTTTGATGAAACTTTAAATGCATGTTTATAACCCAAATATCACCATTACACACTACGTTCTTGTTTCCTTTTGATAATCGCGGATACCCGAACTGATTGTTCTAAAAATCGCATTTTTAGCTTGCGGATTCTCTAGAGGTCACAATTTTTTTCCGATTTTAAAAACCGTTAATTTAAATACATCACCATTCCACCATCATGAAGGTTGAATTTGTATTTCGTGAAAATCAAAATGATACTGCCAGACAAAATGGCCGCTCTTTGTACGCAAATTGTGTAGAAGTGTGTAATACGAAGGTTGTGGACCCTCTATAGGTCACAATTTTTATCCGATTTTGATCAAACTTAAAACATATCTTTATATCCCAAAGATCTATGTCCCTTTTGATATTAGCACATTTCAGGCCATAACTTTCTGGATTATTGCCCCTGATTGTACAAAAAATCACGTTTGTTTTTAGCTTGTTCTCTATCCATCTCTTGCAAAATGTGGGTGTATCCTGCTTGGCAGCCGCTGTTTTTTGTTGTTTTGTTTTTTTTGTTTGAGTTTTTTTTGTTGTCTTTATTTTTTAAAGATGTTTGAGCGCTCAATGCACTTCTCTTATGTATGTGCGACTTTCTAACGTATAAATTTCAACCAAATTTTAAAAAAATTAAAAACATAAAGTCTTGTCAATGTTTTTGTGCCCTGTAGTCGTAGAGCAGTGTAGCGGGACTATTTCCCTGAAGGGGGGGGGGGTATCATGAGGAAGAGATGGGGGTATCTGGCTCCATCCAGCCAGGCCCTGTATATATCGAATATCCAGGAAAGGATAGTTCCAAGTGTATTTGAATGGCATCTGCTATAATTCATAAGATGGTAAGATTAAATGAAATTTAACATTATTGAAGATCAGGGTGTATCGACAGGAACATTTATTGGTGTGAACTCCGCGTTACTACATACATTTTTTAAAAATCAGTTATAATAGGTACTTCACAATAGGATATTGTACAAACGGTTATATTTGCAATTATATACGTTGCCTCGAAAACAAGAATATCTAACATGTATATTAGAGAGTGAAAAGCACCATGCTTGTTGCTATGTAGTCTTTGGCCGAATTTGATTATAACACATAAATTGTACAAAGAATCAAGTCACAAATATTATACAATGAATGAAGTTGATACAGTTTTTGTATTATTATCTTTTTAAACATAGATTATACAAGAGATAAATCTGCCTATTGCAGGTTATTCTTTAAAGTCTGAATTGTTATATAAGCTGTTAATTAGACATTTATTAACATGAAAAGACCTTAGTTCTCGATGCCTTTTTGGTGTTCGATTTTTAGTGGATTTGAATCCGATTTGCTGCTCAACGCTCATTGATGATTAAATGCAAAAATGGATAATCGAGACTATATTTTTTACCGTACCGACTTAAGTAATGATGATCGAGGTTATGCCTAAAATTCAATCGCTAATATCTCAGTTCAGAGTGGAGCAGTTTGACTGAAATTTTCAGCATATTCCCTTTGCATTATCTAGTTTATAGCTATTTGATGAAAACTGACAGCTCTTTATCTAATCTTCCATAATGCCCCTTTAAGCACAGAATACCATGGTGATATTAGCTCAGTGGTATCACCTAAAATCCACAGACTGGTGTCATTACCTAAACTCAAGAATAGACAACCGCAATGGGTTTTATCTCTTGGGATTATCTCTTCTTTCTATAATGTCTTATGGCTCTAGCATTGGGTCATTCCATGTCAAGTAGACCAAATTTCGGAAAGTTGGGAACATGACCCCCTCCAAAATAATTATAAAAGATATATGTATATGGCCTTAAAGTAACAATTCCGAAATTATACCTATCTATGTCAAAAACTCACTGAGATATGTCCATTTGAAATTAACGTGCTGAAACGGACGATAAATTCAGTAAAAATCTTTAGGTTTTCAGGTTCTTTCAACTCACATTTCTAAAAGGAGTAGGACTCTACGACCGACAATTTTTGGTGCAGATTACGAATTAAGCATCACACTCAATGTGCGATTCATACTTGCCACCAAGTAGCAAAATGGGGAGCGGAACCTCGAAAATTGGCGTAGTTAATGTCAGATTTTGAGTCGGTGGGATATACATTCAGCCTCGAAATTCATTGTACACTGACAATTTTCAAAATTTACCCATTTCCTCCTTCAATTTTAATCATGTAAGATAGGGGGTCAAATTCTGA